CCAACATCGGATGTTTCCGCATTGACAACAGATGGAAATGTAGCCATCTTTTACCTTTTGCTTTTAGTGTTAGATCAGTGTTTCTCAACCTTGACAATTTTAAGGCATGTGGACTTCAACTCCCAGAATTCCACAGCCAGTAATGCTGGCTGTGGAATTCTGGGAGTTGAAGTCCACATGCCTTAAAATTGTCAAGGTTCAGAAACACTGTGTTAGATGATGCTGGAAGGGGGGATGTGAACGAGAGTCCAGCTAGACATAACAACACTCGACCTAGCGTGAGAAGCAAGGTTATTGTAACCAGAGCTGATAAGGACTTGGCAGGCTGGAGAACTGGAGAGGGGGCCCTTGCTTCAAGCTAATTGGGGGATGTGATTTATGACGGTTAATTGAAGGAGGGAATTGTGCTTTGATACTATGTGCTCAGAGGAGGGGGATTCAGTGTTTGGCTTCGATTATGCCAGTTCCGATGCTATGCTACTCAAAATAAAGATTCTTTAAGGTAAACAATGCCTCGAAGTTCTTTGAAGAGTTTCATCTGTCGGAACCATGACAGCGCTCAGATCTCAAACCTGGGCTGCCACTGGGCCATCGCACCCCGTACATTTCATTGTACTTTTTATTTTTTATTGTAAATCACTCAGAGTCAGTAAGGTGAGATGGTGGTGGTGGTGGTGTAGAAATGTGATGAATGAATGAAGTAATGAATGAATGGATGGATGGATGGATGGATGGATGGATGGATGGATGGATGGATGGATAAGATAAAACAAGGTACTGACTTATTGAAAATACACTGTTTATTGCTTCCATCGTCTGCATTTGAGGTTCTGGAGGGCTGCAATAGTGGGGGGGCATCAGCACTTCAGGGGGGAAGCAATTTCAGATGGGTCTTCTAGCCTCTAACACAGGGGTCCTCAACCTTGGCCACTTTAAGACTTGTGGACTTCAACTCCCAGAATTCCTCAGCCAGCAAAGCTGGCTGAGGAATTCTGAGAGTTGAAGTCCACAAGTCTTAAAGTGGCCAAGGTTGGACACCCCTGCTCTAACGCACCTAGTCCGATGCCCTATCCTGTGTCCTACCCTTGCAAGGAAAGGCCCCTGGGGAGGGCAAAGGGGGCCAATGAATCTCTGGGCAGAGGCTGAAGAGAAGAAGTAGTGATGAAGGAGCAGAATCCGATGGGTGGGGAGACACGGGTGAAGGATTTCCCCCACAGTGGTTGTAATACTGTATCTCCAAGTGCAGAAACAGCACCATCCTTGACTCTTGAATTCAGAAATGACATGAGGAGATGCAACGGAAGGCACGGCTCACCTTGAGGAAATGGGAGAGGAGATGCTGAATAGGAAACCATCAGAGAAGAGGGGGACAAGCCCCAGTCACCTAATGGTTAGAGGAAGACACTTAGAAGGGACTCGCCCTAATGGATCAAGCAGTTACAAATGGAGGCCAGGAAGTTTTGGTCACCATGCTACAAAAAAGATGTTGAGACCTTGG